CCCTGTTACCAAGGCTAGCAGTTAGCGCTGAGCTCTGTAAAGCCTGCCAACAGCCACTTTGTGAAGGGTGCCCTCTGCTGGCAATTCCCAGCTCTGCAGCTGTGAACCTCTAACCCTGAAGGGCTGCTTAATCGCGTGACCACAAGAATTCATTCTCCTTGTTAACTTTGATTCCCTCATTGATAGAATGGGAATGGCAGTGTCTTCTCTGATCCCCTGACAAATCGCAAGGTGACTGAGTGTGAAAGAGATTTACAAAGACGGTCAGGTGTCTCACATTCAAGCCATTGCTCCTTCTGGCTCCCACGACTCCTCCATAGGTCCAGCCTGGTGGTTCCTGGAGTGCCAACGCTGTTCTTCATGGTCCCACCCACGGCCTGAACCTCCAATGGGTTTGGGATCTATGGCCACCATGACAAGAGCTGTCTCCTTGATGAGGTCAAGGAAGAAGTAAACTGACTTTCGGTGTTTCGGTCCCCGTGGGCCCCCCCTGGTCTGGGCATCAGTCATTATACCCTCTGTTCATTGGGGTGACAGCCACCTGCTGTCCCCAGGTGGTAAGAGCAAGGGCTTGTACCCTCTGACACCCACCGAACGCATCCTCTCAACAGGTATTGGCTTCTGAGTTCTCAATGACACTGAAGCAGAGAAATCTGTTGTCAACATGAGTGAAAATTTTCAGGTTTGTTATCTACGCAATTTCTCCTTGCCGTCTTTCTTTCCTACCTATAATAAATATTCATTGGGCGCCAGCTGTGCTCTAGGCTCTGCATTGGCCTGCATGAAGAACCGGAGGGAAGTTTGCCTCCATAAAACGAATACAGTTGATGGGATGACACACAAGCAGAGCGGGAATTTAATCACCAGACAAATGCGCTCCCTGTGCCTTCCGAGCCGAACTTTGTGTCCTGCCGTGCTTCTTAGCCATACCTTCCCTCGCTTTATATTAACTTCATGCTCTCTCAGGACACAAGTGGGATTGACTTCACAGGCTCCAAGGTGCTCAGAGAAGAAATAAGTAGATTAAGAAAGAGAGTGAAAACATTTCTCAAGCCAGAGACAGCTATTTCTAGTGTCTGTGGGGAGGGGGCTGTTTGGTTTTTGTCTCAAATTTGCCTTCAGAACTGGAGGGTCTGGAGTAGTGAACCTGAGCCACGTCCCCTGTGGGCCTTCCTGTTTTAGGGACCTTGGCTTCCTTGAGAACCGGTGGAAGCACATGGAATTAGTGACGTGCCCAAAGGGTGGAGCCCTACACACAGTGGGCAATCAGAATGTGTGTGTGGAATATCGGGAACCTTGCCTTGTAATTTTACAGCCGCAGTCTGTGGCAAGAGGTCAGCTTGGCCGGGTGGGGCAGTAGCCTGGGCAGCAGACTGGCTGAGGGCCACCCAGGGACCAGATGTTAGCCACTTCTCCACGTGTGAGATTCCATGGTCAGATGCAGTCTGCCTCTAAGGCTTCTTCTGAGAAAATGAAACAGGAAAGGCCATGCGTTTACAGAGATGCTCTATCCATAAATAGATGTTTGGACCCTCCAGAAATGAGGACCGTTACAAAGTTTTCCTCAGTAGGCTTGTGTTGGAAATGTGGTCCTCGATATGTGACTTGATCTGTTGTGGGGGGGGGGGCTGGCAGTGGCACCAGGACCTATCCCAGGGGCATGGACTGGCTTTTTGGAGGTCATTCCCTATGGAGGGACACCTTGCTCAGCCTTGATGCAGGGTGGAGGGACTTGGTTCTGCCTCAACTTGGTATCCTAGACTTTGTTGACTCCCCAAGGAAGGCCTTAACCCCTCTGAGGAGTGGATGGGGGTTGGGAAATGTGGGAGGCAGGGAGAAGAGGAGGGAGGAGGGAATAGGGTTGGAATGTAGAATGAAAAATACGGTCCACCAGTCTCTTTGGGGGGGGGCTGAGCGGGATGGTGAGTGTCGATGACTCAGACCCTCCCCCCATTAGTTACCGGGGAGAAAAACCACACTGAGTCGGGAGTCTGTCAAAGCAGGATCTCGATTTATTCTAACAGGCAGGAACTTATATAGGACTGAAGTAGGGGATGGGAATCTTGGGATAGGGTAAGGTGACTGAGGAGTAAGGGCCAATAGTATTCCACCAAGCAGGCAGGTAGCTAGGCAGGGGGCAAATTTACATCAGGTCTGGCTGAGTCACCCCCACATGGAGGTTACAGGTCAGAGACAGGTCGCCAAACTCTAGCCAGGCTCAGGAGGTTACACTGGGCCTCACATCTGAGCCCTAAACTCTAGCCAGGCTCAGGAGCCTACACTGGGCCTCGCATCCAAGCCTTTCTTAGGCCCAGCAAAGAAGACATCCTGTCTCTGTTATGTGGTGTCTTTCTGTTACCTGGGTACCAGAAAGTAGCTCACAATCTTCCTCTCTGCCCCTCTACCATGATATGTGTGATCTTTCCACAGGACAAGAAACAATGGCCCCAATGACCAGGGACTGAAACTCTGAACTACAAGCTATAAATAAATCTGACTTTTAAATTGTTTCCCTCAGGTACGTTGTCATAGTGACAAAGCCTGACTGACAAGGAACTCGCTGTCAGTATCACTTTAGGGTGGTTTGTTAGGTGGTGAACACACTCATCTTCAACCAGTCAGGAGACGTCAGTGCCCAGCTGAACACCGATGATCAGGACCTACAGTGGGTTTACACTGATCAGATCCATCCCTTCCCTGAACCCTCATCCATGTGTACACAAGTGAACCATGAAGCAACACGAATGGCACATTCACTAAAATACTTAACAATTTTTCTAACAGTCCCGGTTTCTTAAAAAAGAGGATGCATAGCTGTGGGTCATTCCGCTATGGAAGGAATTAATGACCGTTTTGTTTTGTTTTGTTGGGGATGCTGGGGTTAAACATGGTACCTCATTCACACTAAGCAAGCTGTCTACACTGAGTGATACCTTTAGCACCTGGCAGCAATTTGGAAAAGTACAGGAGAATAAGCATCATGGTGTCTTGGTCACTCCTGTGAGCTCAGACTTTAGTGCTCTGTTGGGCACATAGCAGACATATGTATTAGTGACAATGGACACCCACTGTGATCTAGTTTCTTCTGTTACTGTGGCATAACCTCACTAAGGAACTGAAAAAAATAGTTTTGTGTGTTCTCCCAATGGTATCCCCCAGGTAATAGTTTAAAGCTATATTGCAATTTCTAGCTTTACTTTCATTAGTGAGTAATTCACAAAGTCAACTAGAAATTAAAACTGGCTCAACAAGCACTTGGTGGTCACCTTGAAGGCATTTCAGCTATTGCCCAGCAGGCTCTTGACTGACAAGCTCAAAACAATCATAGTCAGTACCAAGATATTCAGGAATGCAACAAAAATGAAGACAAAACCAAGTACCCCAACCACCTAAGCTATAATTACAAACGCAGGTACAGACTTGCATTTGCCAGAGCCCTGAAATTGCCTTCTGAGGCAGGTGAACACACATTACAAGAAACCAAAAGGGGAAAGAACAGAGGACCAAAGAAATACTCCTAAGAATATACAGACACTAGTGTGCCTATCCCAAGCCTGGAAGGGCAACACCTTCCTGTATTGTTCCCCCCTCATTCCTCAGCCACCTGTCCCCCATCCCTACATACCCTGCTAAAGCATCGGCGACACACTGACGGGAATTCCTGCTGTTGCCTGTGGTGTCTGCTGGCTTCCTGTGTAGTTTCTGTGAGGGCTGACTTAGCCTGTATGTGAGTGGACATGGCGGTTTACATTACCCTACGGCTCTGGAGGTTGGACGTCCGTGATGTGAACCTCTTCTGTAGCCTTTTGTTTTGTTTTGTTTTTAGAGACAGGATTTCTCTGTGTAACAGCCCTGGCCATCCTAGTACTCACTCTGTAGACCAGCCTGGCCTCAAACTCACAGATCCCCCTTCCTCTGCCTCCTGAGTGCTGGGATTAAAGGCGTGCGCCACCAGCTGTTCTGTAGCTTTCAAAGATCGATGTCTCAAACTGAGCACTACATGTTAGCTCTCTCTCTCTCTCTGTCTCTCTCCCTTCCTCTCTCCCTCTTTCTTCCTCCCCACCTCCTCACCCCACCCCAAGCCATTTTATATTTACAGAGAGAGTGAAAGCCTGGGCCTTTTATGCAACTCACAAGTGGCAGAGCCATCTGAAGCCAGGCTACCTCTGCACCTTCCCTGAGGCCTCCATGAACAACAGTCATGCTCTTAATCACCTTCTATTTTCCTTCTCTACCTGAGTTAGGTGCCGCCTGACTCAACATACATTACAGGCTTTCCTCCCCTGCCTTTCAGAGCCCTATGCTATTTCACCGGGCCCCATCCCTTGGCCACCCTCCCCCTCCCAAGCCCAAGTGCCCTTCACAGGGGCCTCTTACCCTCCTACACCCAGCCCAGGCCTCAGGAAACCTTTTTCCCAAGGTTTCCTCCCCATTCCGTTCCTTCTCCCCGGTTCCCCACACTCCCCATTCACTCTTCCCTAATCTAGTTCTCCTGGCTCTGCCAGACCCAAGGACACCTCCACGGTCTTCCCAGGCAGCTTCTGCACCCAGGCTGCAGCAGCTGCCCCTCCTGCAGTGAGAAACACTGCTGTCTGGGCCTCTGGTTTAGCTGCGAAGCCTGTGATGTTTGGTACCGTTACCACCACAGACTTTGCTATCTAATTAAATACTTGAGAGCCGTGTTCAGGCTTGCCCTGACTTTCCACGCTGTGCACCTGAACCAGCACACTGTAATGCTTGTCTGTGTCCCAGAGCTCAGCTGTCTGGGTTTGTGCCCCGTTCAGTCTGTGCTTTCTTATCTATGACCATGGGTCCTCAAAGCTGCTTGGCTGCTTGGGTGAAAACCTGTTAAAATGGGTGTATTACTGCTGCTTTTAAACATTTGTCAACTATTTACAGCAGCCAACCTTTGTTCTACATGGGCAGAATTTTCTATTTGCAGGGTATAAAAGCTCTCACCATCTGGTTTTATGTTCCAGTGCAGCATCAGAGACAAGCCATGAAGTAAGCATGTAGTATATTTGATACTGCTAAGAGCTGTGGAACAAGAAGCTGTGGTTTTAAATAGCCCAGTGACCCTGGGAAATAGGCTACAGCATTCTAGAATGATTAAATCAGCTGCTAAGTGTTAGTACTTACAACAGTACTTGAAATTCATTAAGCGCTAGACAATGATTGCCTATTAGGCACTGTCAATGGATACGAGATGTTTTTGTAACTAGAAAGGCAGGGACTGGAGAGATGGCTGCTCTTCCGGAGGGTCCATGTTCAATTCCTAGAAAAAAAATAAATTGTAACTTCAGTTCCGGGGGATCCCTGTGCCTTCTCCTAGCCTCTGTGAGCACGAGGCATTGCATGATACACAGACATACGTGCAGTCAAGCACCCATACACATAAAATAAAGAAGAATACCAATTAAATATTTCAATCATTTTGCATCAAAATGGACCAGTTGGTTTATTGGTATATGTGGATTTTCTGCGGGTTGTCTATGGGAAAAGGACTTTGCTAATCAGTTCATGCTAAGGACCATTCCTTGGTCATCCCTCCCCCTCTACTATGAAGCCCACCAGCTTTTAACCACACAAATACATACACCTACTGAAGGATGCAGAGTTCTCTTATCATCTCATTGTCAGAGACCTCAGTCCAGCGCTAGTATCTTCTTTATTTCTTCCTTTCCTTTCATCCTTTCCTTCCTTTCTTTTCCTCCTTTGTGTGTGTGTGTGTGTGTGTGTGTGTGTGTGTGTTTTCAAGACAGGGTTTCTCTGTGGCTTTGGAGTCTGTGCTGGAACTCACTCTGTAACCAGGCTGGTCTCGAACTCACAGAGATCCGCCTGCCTCTGCCTCCCCAGTGCTGGGATTAAAGGCGTGCGCTGTCACTGCCCCAGCCTTTCTTTTCTTTCTATGATTAGGTAACTCCTTGAGAGGAGATGAACCCTTCAAGCATAACCTGTATTGCAGAATGAAGTTTTGCAGTGTAGAGAGGAAATTCAGACATACGCTGACAAGTTCGTTCCTTGAAACTTGAAAGAGTTGATCCCAACCCAGAATCCTCATACAAGTGAAGCTTAACGGGGCACAGGAGAACTGAGAATCCAGCACTTTCTGCAGAGATTGATAAGGATACAAAAATACATTTTTTTCTACACCCAGAAATTCTGTCATCAAATGTGGTCTTTCCCATAGCAAGCAGTTCTTTAGGCCTCAACTTGGTTTCCTAGAATTTAAGTTGGTTCTGGCACTACCCACAGGTTGAGGGCTCGGCCTCCCAGTCACATATTCCAAGTACCTCAACTCTTGGCTCACCAACTCCAAATCAGGGCTTCCCACATTCCCTTCCTCTGGCTCAGTAATTTGCTAAAATGGCCCTCAGAGTTCAGGGAAACACTTGGCCTGCTATTACTGGTTTACAATAGAGAATATGACTGATGAACAGTCAAATGACATAAGATAGACACTCGGGCATCTATGCCCTTCCTGGGTACACGCCCTCCCGGCCAACAAGCCCAGATGGATGAGTCAGCTTACTTCAGGATCTTATGAGTTTGTTGACTCGGGCATGGCTGGCTGACTGGAGTTCACTGAGCTCAGTCTCCAGTCCTGCCTGCCTAAGAGAGCAGGCGGTTGGGCTGAGCATTGTAAACCTCCAGTCCTGTGATTGGTTCCTCTAGTGACCATCTAGTCCTCCCTTCTCCAGCCAGATCTCATTAGCATATCAAGAGTCACACTCTCCAGATCCCAAGGCTCTTACAAGGATCAGGTACCAGGGACCGGTAGTACAATAAAAGAAGTCTTCAACACACCGAGCATGCCAAGACCCATGAGAGCTTTAGGAACTCTAGGGGGTAGGGTAGAGGCCAAATAGAATGTTTGTTATGTCAGAAGTATCCATCAGGCAACTGAATCTTCTGTCATCTACTTCTGGGGGGGCGGGGTTCCTCCTTCACTGTGGGGTCTTTAAGAGTTTCCTAGACATTGCGCTAATCTGGAGTCCTTGAAAGTTCAGGAATGAGAGCCTCGATGTGTCCTGCAAGGACCAAAAGCAGAGCCTCCTTGATTTCATGTACATGACCAGAAGAGGTACCAGAAGAGGGCTGGAGAAAGGGGCCACACGCAGGCACTTTTACTTTCTTTTTAAAGACAGCCTTACACACAGGTGATGCCCAAGAAGGCTTCAAAAATGTCTGCAACGTACATCAAGCTGCCTGTCCATCCTGAAGATCAGCATCCTAAAGCTTACAGAGGAAGCTGGGGTTCAGCTCTGTGGCAGAGTACTTGCCTGGCATGTTGAGGGTTTGGATTGAGCCCCCAAACATGGTAAAGGAAAACAAAAGTTAAAAACAAAACAAAAAAGAATTATAGGGGCCTATCTCTTTCAATACACAGATGGTGGAATTGTGAAATATTTACAAAGTGAGGGAAGGTTTCAGAGCCTCCTTCTGGCATGAGGCTGCTCTGCGCGTGTGTCACCAACCAGCCCTATGCTAATCATATCCCGAGTAAGAACTGACTTTTCCTGAGCTGTTTTAATGTGCTAGGTGATTGCGATGAGCACCCTACATACAGTAGAGTCCTCAAAATAATCCAAAATAGGAAAAATAGAAGTGAAGTGTCATGATAGGTGTATGAAGATGAAAATGTTGCAATGGGATCCATTACATTATATGCCAACTAAAAGAATAAAAACAGCAAAAAAAAAAAAAGAAGAAGAAGAAGAAGAGGAACCCAATAAAGTAAGTCCCATTGTTATTAATAAACTTGCTCTTATGGTCTTTCAGAAGAATCAATCCATTTGCTGAATTTAAAATTTTGGTCTAGTTAGTGTCAGAGCTGGAATTTTAACCAGGTGACCCATTTCTGACTGTGTCTAACCACCCATGCCATAACAAATCAACCTGGAGGAGGTGACCACGGACAGTGAGGGAAGGTGCCATATGCTTGAAAACAGAGTGAGCGGAGACAAGCGTCGGAGGGGATAGGACATCAATGGGCAGGGTCAGGAGGCATCAGAGAACGAGGGCTGGACCCGGTTGTGTGGAGCTGTGAGTGGACACCGCAGTTGGGTGTTGTTGCCAAAGCTGAGAGGAGCAGCAGGCAGGGCCGTGATGGGCTAGGTCCTTTCATGTCCTGTGACAAGGTGAGATTTCTGGTACCGAAAGTCTGGCAAGTTACCTGTGACAGACACCTGTGGTGGCCTCACCCTGACTCCCTGACCAACATCACATCTTTTTATTTTATTTTTTATATGTGTCAGTGTTTTGCCTGCCTGTATGTCTGTGTGAGGGAGTCAGAGGCCCTAGAACTGGAGTTACAGACAGTGGTGAGCTAAGCTGTCTCTCCAGCCCACCCCACCTCACTTTTTTTTTTAATCTACGCTGTGCGTGGCTCTTGCTTCTCAGAGCCAGCCATGGAGAACCTGTCCTCTTGCCAGTGATTTAGGAAGGCCCAGTCATTGCCCTCCCTCCTACCTCTCCACTGAAGTGACCTTACACTTGTGGACTGTTTAGGGCCACCACAGCCGGGACTCCCAAAAGAACAAGCTGTGCGTGTGGAGACATCTTCCCTCGTGGCCCTCCTAGTCTCCCTGCTGACGAAGTCTCTGAGGTGCCCTGAGGCAGTCCTTCCTGAGTCCTAGATGGTGCCCCCTACACACTCTGTCCCCCGCTTACTTCCTCCGCACAGGCCTTCTTTCTTCAGACCTGCTTTCCCACCTACGCCGCCGCTTCCTGACTGTGTCCCCCAGGTTTCTGTCACCTCCATTGTCTTCCATCCTCATTCCTCAGATGAACCCCCACCGCAAGCACAAAGTGCCAAGGCCTTTCCTCCTCATTTCTTGCCCCCCTCCATGTGCCTGCTCCAGATTCAAACAAGTTTCCCTGGCACTTCGTTTTGTGTCCCCAGATAGCCTGTGGGCAGCCTCTTTCCACAGGAAAACCATGCAAAGCAAAGCTCTATGCTTTGTGGCCTAAACTGTGGGCCGCACACCTGGGTTTGCTCCAAGTCATCGTCCTCTTCAGCTCCCCACATCCATCAAAGTTCACAAGCACTGCAGTCCCTCCGGGGCCTCGCCGGCTCTGGCACGGAGTCTCTGGGAGATAGGAGCGTACGACGCGGCCTCCACACGCAAGTGCTGCAATTACGCTGCCCGCCAACCTCAGGACCATAGTCTTATTTGCAGGGCTGTCACCCTTGAGTGTCCAGCAACCCTGGCATTGGGGTCAGCCTGCAGTACCGTGGCCGAGCCAGTCTGGCCTTGAGAATCCAGTCTTCCCACCTTGCTATGCTATCAGGAGCTGCCGGCTTTCAGTTTCCCTTACCAAAGTCTGTCTAAGCGGTAGACAAGCCCGAGGCCCTGGCGGCGCGGGGGGGGGGGTCTCAGGTCGGGAGGAGGGTACATCCTCTCTTCAGAGAGGAAGCCAGGGGCCCCCTGCACGTTTCTTGCATGGCAATGGAGCCCTAACAAGGTCCTGCTCCCCCGGATGGTGCTCTCTGCTTGGCCCTTCCTTGGGCCTGAGCCAAGCCTCCACGATCTTCCCCATGCCCCAAAGCTTTGGCCCTTTGCCAGCCAGTTTCAGGCTGTGGGAACAGAGGGTCACCTGGGGGCACAGCCTTGTTCTAGCCTTTCTTTGACACGCTTCTGCTCAGCTAACCTCTACATCTGTGCCTGTTCGGGGACCCAAAATGAGCCTTCCCTCTGCGGGAGGTGACCAAACATGCCAGACCTTATCTGCTTCTCAAGCCACTGCTGTGGTGGGGGAGGTGCAGTTTTAGCTTGGGGCTCTATGCATCTTTTAAAACATAGTAAGAAGAAAAGACTCTTTCCTGCTGTTGGGGTGTAGAAGAAACCCAACAAATGAAACTGGGACTGGTGAGTGGGGAGGGGAGGGGAGAGAGGGGAGGGGAGGCAGAGGCAGGCTGATCTCTCTGAGTTCGAGGCCAGCCTGGTCTATAAGAGCTAGTTCCAGGACAGTCTCCAAAGCCACAGAGAAACCCTGCCTCAAAAAATCAAAAAAATAAAAATTAAAAATAAAAGGTGGAGGTGGCTGGACGGTGGTGGCGCACGCCTTTAACCCCAACACTCGGGGGGCAGAGGCAGACCGATCTCTGTGAGTTCAAGACCAGCCTGGTCTACAAACTGAGCTCCAGGACAGCCAAGGTTACACAGAGAAACCCTGTCTTGAAAAACCAAAGTGAAAAAGAAAGGTGGAGGTAGAGGTGTGTGTGTACACATTCCTACATGTGTATGTCTGCATGAACATGAATGATCGATACATTCATACCTATGTGTATGCATGTGTGTATGTGCATACACATGAGTACCTGCACGAATGTGTCATGCACTGGGGTAAGGGCAAGAGTCCCTGGCAGGAGAAATGAAGTGTGGCAGAGCGTGTCCCCAGTGAGGAAGTGGGCCAGGAGGGCTCGGGAGGAACAGATCACAGGAAGCCAGGAAGGGCATGGCCAGTGCCAGCTCCAGAAAGATGGGCACTACCTTATTTTTACACCGAACCCTACAAAACACCCAGCCCAACAGGTGTCTGGGCAGCGTTTACTGAACAAATAAAGAAGTAAAAACATTTTGTTAGAGAAAAATTTTAAACAGGAGAAGGGGGTTTGATGAGCGGGACAAAACCACGTCTCCAAGTTAGTTGTGCCACCCGAGAGCCAGGCCACCCCTTAGCTGGCAGCCAGGAAGTGTCATGTCCATCTGGCTATCACAGGGACAGGTTTACAATAAGGCACACATGGCATGATTTGAGTAGGTCACATTTACCAGAACAAATGTGTCAGGCCTCTCCATATCTGCCAGACTGGGACTTTACAGGGAAGGTTTGGAGGAGGGAACAGAGACCAGCTAGGCTCCATCTGGGAGGGGCTGTCTCTGCTAGTCTCTCCATCCTGTAGATGTCAAAGGATGGAATCATGTCAGAGTTGTGGAGGGAGGAGAGATGGGGAGGAGAAAAAAAGGGTAAGGATTAGAGGAGAGAGTGGGGGAAGATGGGAAATGAGGAGGGAGGGAGAGAGGAAGGAAATCGTTTATCTAATTAAAGAGATATCCACAGACAAAGGTGACTAGCAAAGACTGTCCCTTGCCACATACTCTTAGGCTGGGTTATAGCCCACACTCTGAAAGGCAGCAGGTGATACCCAATGCTCATCTGAGAAGAGTGAGAAGAGACTCCCCACTCTAGAGCTAGATGTCAATGGCGGTGGTTAGGACCACATGACTCATCCAGTAGCTAGAACCTGGAACAAAACATCCAGTGTTCAGCTGGGTCCTTGTCATCTCCCCATCTCTCTCCTCTCTTGTACCAGAACTCGTGACTTAGCTGGGTGAATGGTTGCCTGGAATGATGATTATATTTTCAAAGCTGTTGCCTCTGTGGCCAGGTTCCAATCTGCAGTCTGTAAGCAGAGGGATCATGGACAGCCTTGGAAAAGTCAGGTAAAAGCACTGATTCTCAAACCTGGGGTGATTTGCCCCCTAAGTGGCATCCATCAGTAGCTGTAGGCACTTTTGCTTGTCACACAGGGGTAGTGTGAGTAACATTGGCATTGGTGGTAGAGGTCAAGGATGCTTCTAGGTGTCCTGCAATGTGCAGCGCCTGGTGCGCAGCCTGTATCCGAGAATGTGGCGAGGACTGATGACACAGAGACCGGTCGGTTGCATTAAGAAAACTTTATGCTCCCCAAATCAGCTTAGGAGAACTTCCCAAGAAAAACGCTTTCCTTCAGAAAGACTTCTGCCATCCATACACGCACAAATCTCCAACAGACCTCTCACACACCCCTCACAGACCTCTCCTTCCTCCTGGCTGGTGGTTAAATCTCTGGCACCAGAATCGGGAACAGCAGGGAGTAGCTGGCCATCGGGAAGATCAAAGTCAGGGTGTTTCAGTGACCAGCCCTTATCAAGCCCTTATCAGGAGCTTATGGCACTGAATTGTTTTCAGTAAACATGTTTTCAGTAAACATTGTCTCAGCTGCCTGCTCCCAGGCTGATGGAGGGGTGGGTTCTGGCCAGGGTCTGTGATCCCCACAACAATGTACAAGACAGACCCTCAAAGAGGACAGGACACACTTATCTTGCTCCTTCCCCATACTATTAAGTGTGGTTAGAGTCTGAGCTGCTATCTTGAACCATGGAATAGAAGTCACATGTTAGTGATGGAGAGGAGTCTAGGTTTCTGATGGCCCTGAACTTGCCACACCAGCGATGAAGGTTTACTTTCAGAGTGTGTCCTCACCCAGAATAAAGGGCTCAGTTACATACAGCTGAATCTGATACATCGTTCTTCCTCTTGCTACTTCTCTACGTCCTCCTACTCCACTCTGGCTGATGGTCCCTCCTTCCTTTGCATTACATGCAGGTTTTGTTTGATCTACTTTGAGTTCTTATTCTGGTCCCAAGACCCATCTTACTGCATCTCTGAGACTCCTGTGTTTCCCCAGCCAATCAAACTCTTCCCCTTTTCCCTTAGCCAATCCTATCAGTAAGCCATATCAGATTGGTTTCAAACATTTCTTTGTAGCCTGTTTTGCCCATATGGGGTCAGCCCAGCAACACAGAAGCCTGTCCAATAGAAACCTATCCTAGCCCCTATGTTGTATGAGCGCCAGCCAGCTAAGTATCAACCTGCGTTCCTTTGTACTTGATGTAATGAATCCAATCATTCGGTCAATCCATCACCATCTGCATGACACATGTAGAAGCACTTTGTCATTGTGACAGCCAGCCCTCAAATAATGACATGGAGACTTATTATTATGAAAGCTTGGCCTTAGTTTAGGCTTGTCCAACTAGCTCTTTTAACTTAAATGAACCTGTTTGTTTGTTTTTTCCATTAATCTACGTTCTGCCATGTGATTTTTACCTTTCTCCCATTCTGTATGTCCAACGGGCTCTGAGTCTTGCTGGTGTCTCTTGTGTGCCGCGATTCATCCCCCTGAGTTCCTGTCTCTCCTTGGAAGTCCTGCCTAATCTCTTCCTGCCTCACTATTGGCCAATCCGCTTTTATTAAACCAATCAGAAGGTGCCTTGGCAAAGACATATATTCACAGTGAAAAAAGATTACCCCACAACAGTCATGTTTAAGGCTGGAACACAGGATGTGTTAGGACAGTGTCCTGGACGTCTTTACTCTTTTGTTATTCTTTGCCACTGGCTTTAAACCCCTGGCTACTAGGAAAGATCTCAGGTCAATAGGGCGAAGGTTGATCCTTCCATTGCTGTCCTGAAAAATTGATAGGAGGCAGCTCTTTTTTTCCTGGGTCTTTTACACTTACTCCCAGAAAGATGAGTAAACCAGAGGCCTCTGCAACTCTACAAGTGAATTCAGTGACAGCCCTATCATTAGGAACTGAGTAAATCATTTGGAGTCAAGTACGACTTTCTAGAACACAGAGGGCAATCTCAGCCAGTATATCTGCTACTGGTTGTGACTGTCTAACCTGATATCTTAATAATAAAAAAATAAAGATGGATCATTTTAAGAAGAAAGAAAATACCAAAGAGACAAGGAGCATCCCAGTGTGTCCCTCGTCCTTCAAACTAGCTGAGTGCTAAGTCTACTCGCAAACTTCCGAATCATGACTATGCTTGATGTGAAGATGGGTGTTTCCAGCTCAGGAAAGTAATTAAAATCACTTTACTGTCTTCTCAGTGTGTGTTGACTGGAGAGAAGGGGGAGGGGTGTAAGTGCCGTGTTCTAAGAGAGCAGGAGCTGGGCTAGCAGTGATGGCACAGGTCAGTCACACCAGCACCAGGGCCCAAGTCTTAGGCTGCAGAATTGTGTGAGGCCAGCCTGGGGTACATAGTGAGACGTTGTCTCAAAAAAAAAAAAAAAAGGTGGGCCCAAACATTATTAATACCGCGGAAGGTGACCTCCAAGGTTGGCCCTAATCCCTTGCCTCTGGTATCCACAGCCTTTGTGATGCCCTCCCATATTGAGACATGGTGATGATTCATGACTTCTGTCAGAGTATATTTCACTGTCTCACTCATCACTGTGTGTGTGTGTGCGCCGCACGCGCACGTGCGCGAGTGCATGCAAGTGTGTGTGTGTGTGTGTGTGTGTGTGTGTGGTGTGTTTCATGTCCCTACTTCCCTCTAGCAGATAAATCTATTAGATGCAGCCCGTATAGTGAGGTCTATATGACAAGGACAAGGGATCAAGGCCTCCTTCCAACAGCAATGTGAGTCATCTTGGAAGCAGATCCTCAGTTTCAGTCAAATCTTCAGATAATTACAGTCCCAGACAAGGTACCAGAAACCCTCAGCTGAGCTGCTCTA